TTACAAAATCTTGAGATAGAAATTATCTCTTAGTTGAAATTTTGTGATCTTATCTTATCATGCAGCAAGTGGCGATCAGCATCCTTCACTTATCTTGGAGCTTTTTCCAAGTGGCAGGAACACCTTCCATAAGTTTCCTTTTTTCTCTTCTCTTTCATTTTATCAATATCTTCCTTTAATTGCATAATTGCTTAGCTTCCTCTTTATGTTTCCACTTCTCTCTTTTAATTTATCTACTTAAATTGCATGTTTCCATATCACAGCATCTATGAGTTATTTTGGGGTCATACAAGAGATATGGGAAATTGATTATGTTACTTTTAGGGTGCCTATGTTCAAGTGTTAATGGGTTGAAGATAATATGGGTGTGCGGATGGTTGATTTGAGTAAGGTCAGGTATAGGGATGAACCTTTTATTATGAAATATCAAGTGAGACAAATATTTTATGTCAAGGATCCATGTAATGAGAGATGGTTAATTGTTCTTGAAGGAAGAAGCATGCATAGAATTCATGAAGACGAGTCCTAGATATAATAAGATACCTTCATTTTCAAGTAGAACATTTGATGACCTATTTGATAATGAAGTGGATGATATACATGCAATTCGAAGTGATCATGATGAAGGGATATGGGAAAACATATCAACAAATAGGTGTTTATCTTCACATTGTCGTGTTCTTTTTATTTAAATTTATTAAGTATGTTGACTTCATATTGTTGTGTTCGTTTTGTTGAAATTTATTCATCATATTGTTTTGTTTTTAAGGATATGTCGGATTCCACATCTAGTAGTGGCAGTGGCAAGAGTGAAGGTGGAGGTAAATCTGTCACCTAGTTAAAGGGGTTGATAACAGGTCAGGTTGCTAGAGAGAAAACTTAAGTTGATGCTAATTCACATTTTGGTAAGGCATCTGACCCAAATGCTTCTAAGTTTAAGAGCTATTTGGGACTAATAGCTTGACACCATGTTTCGATTACTATTCCATCTTGGGATGATGTAGAGGAGACCAAGAAGAACCTCATGCGGCAGGATATTCAGGTATTTATATATTTGTTGAACACTTTATATATCAATAATTGAATTTAACATTTATTGGTCATTAGATAGAAAATTTTCAAAATTCCTAACACTGAGGTGACAAGGAAGAAGATTTTATCCTCCATTGTCATTAGATGGAGGGACTTTAAGACTTTCTTGACACGGGAGTATGTATTTGGAAAGTTTCAAGATGAATCTCCCAGTCTAAAGTATCAAATTAATGAGGAGAACTGGTTCTAGTTTCATGCCAATCGATTGGACCCCTCTTGGCAGGTTAGTTCTTAGTAATTCTTACCTTAATGTACTACTCCAATTTTCTTATTTACATTATAGGATAAAAGACTAGTTGCCCAACAACGTCAAAGGTTGAATGATGCACCACATTTATTGTCACGAGGAGGGTATGCATTGTTGGAGCAATGTCTCATGAAAGCTAGAGTTGAGTTAGCAAGAGTTGAGTCTACTAACCTTGTATCTCCACCACCCCTCTATGAGATGTGGAAGGCAACTCGGACATCATCACGAAGGACCATTGTCGACTCTTGCAACCAGGAGGCCTTGCAGAAAATGGAGATGCAGTTTGAAGAAAAGTTAAATCAAATATGACAGTCCTTGTAGCAAGAGTTTGATGAGTGTAGACCCCAAATCTTACCCCGCCTCAAAATAAAGAGCAGAAGACCTCCAATTCGAAGATGGGCATGTCCTAAAAAGTCCCTAGGATAGACTAATAGGCCCCATATTAGAGTAGGAAGGTTTTTTGTACAGAAAAAATAAGGAATTTCACCTGAAAGGTCGAGACACCATCTTGCTTAGTGAGACGGCCGTCTCGCCATCGGCAAAGGGCGAAATCGCCGTCCCGTTTGGCGAGACGGACGTCTCGCCATTTGCCATGGTGAGACCGCCTTCCCGTTTGGCGAGATGGCCTTCTTGCCATTTGACAAATCGATACTGCCTTCTCGATTGGCGAGATGGTCGTCTCGCCATTTGTCAAAGGCGAGACTGTCATCCTGTTTGGTGAGATAGCGGTCTCGACCTTGCTAGACAAGACGGTCGTCCCGACCTGATAGGCACGAATCCCTATAAAAGGAAGGCACTCTCCCCTTCATTTCACACAGTTCTTCAACTTTCCCTTCTAACATTTCTTCAAATTCTTCTCCTAGAATCCCTCTGAAGCATTTCTGGAGTTTTCTTAGTGTTCTTAGAGAGAATTTTATAGCGTTGCGAGAAAGAGCGATCGACATTGTAGAGTGAAGGACTGCCAAAAAGCGTCCTATTCCAAGAATATTAATCAAGAAAGCTTGCTTCGAAGGTTTATACACTTTCTCTCTCTCTCTCTCTCTTTTACTGCTTTCTATTTACATTTATACGTGTATTAGCTACTAGGTCCATGTAGTCACTATTTTCTTAATTCTGCAAATAAAAGGGTAAAAGCGTCATTTTAAAGTTTATTTATAAAATAAATGGCCCATCATAGGGAACCTGAAAGGGGCATCGTGGGGGTGTTAATACCTTCCCCACACGTAACTAACTCCCTTACCCTACTCTGGTTATAATGGCCAAAGTTGGTTTTTCCAAACCAACGCCTTCTTTTCTCCTTTTCCAATATTTCTGGACAAAACATTGGTGGTGACTCCAGAACCCATTTTCGAAAACCTCGCCTTTAGGTCCAGCCCGGTTATCGGACAACCTAAAAGGCATTGTAACATCACTTTAAAACGCAAGTTGAAAGTCGGAAATCATCGCGTCACTCCGACCGCCTCTTTTGACGGCGGCGATAATGAGAAACTTGAATCTCTTGCCCGCTGTTGTAGAGCCTTCAAGGGAATATACTCAGACTGATTCACCACACTAGTGTGAGATGTTGAAGATAACCCTCAGCGTCTAGTGGCTATTGGTCGAGTTTTTGAAGGTTGCTTAACCATCCATGGTGTTCCTCTATAGGCAGACTGGACGTGGGTAGTAATTGATGAAGTTCATGATGTTGATGCTCCAATGCATTTTGCTAACGAAGAGATTCAACTAGTGGGGCAGGCAAGCGGCACATTCTTGGCTTGGCCAAAGATGTTTGGTGATGTCACTCTCAGCACGAACCAAGGTAATGTATATATTGTGTATTTTCTCTTCTTTTCTACTCTTATAACTACATGAATGTTTAATTAATTATTATCATTTGTTACTCAATGTTGAGGATCTTGACTTACGAGTATTTCAGATCTCTAATACTTTTGAAATGAGACGAGATGAGACATGTGGCATTCTTGCCTACTTTTAGGGAAGACAAGTCGTATGACCATAACTTATCAGAATATTTTGGAGGAAGGTCATGGTCCAACATGACAACGCCATGTAGTCTTAGGAGATTGAACGATTGGTAATCAATAGAAAAAAAAATGTTTTTTTTATGTTTGTTTTTTCATATTAGATTAGTAAAAATCTGAGCTAATAAAAATGTGATAATATTTTTAAAATTAAAATAATTTTTTTGTTGGACAATATGGGATCCGAACATAAAAAATGTTTTAAATCTCTTTCAAAATTTTATCTTTCTCGTGCACACAAATTTTTTCTATCGTGCAATGGCGATGATGACATCGAGCATGAGCTTCTTAAGCATTCTTCAACCATGATGAGCAGAGGGACACTAATCAATACACATCTTGTCACCTAGATGTGATAGAATAATTTTATAATGGAAATAATGCAGTGTTAGGTTTGACCAAGGTCATGTGCTTGAGGAGAATTGAGATGCATTGCTTTAACTTTGATTTTAAATGATGAAAGTTAGGAAAATAAGGGGAGTTTGATGTTTAAGTGCAAGAAAAGTGACAAAAAGAAGTAAAAGCTATATTCCTATGAAAAACACTACATGAAAGCATGTAAATGAAAACATTAATGAAAACAATAAATCTAAACTATGAAAGTATTAAATTAAAGTTGTAAATTACATTGAAGATAAAGAAAAACATTTAAATGGAAGCTATAAATGAAAGCAGTAAATGAAAAACATTAAATCTATGTTCTACAAAGCATTTAAATATCTAAAAATAGTAAAGGAACATGATGCAGAGTAGAAATAAAATAGAAATTGAAATTATAAATGAAAATAGTGAAGAACAATGTATAATTCAATAGGAAAACTTAGGTTGAATCTCCAATCATCACTTGTTCATATGATTATCATAGATTTCTAGAATTTGTCTTGCAATCACAAAAACAAATTCATAACAATTTAAAACAATTACAATCCAATTAAAGTAACAAAAACACAACTAAATTCCTAAATCAAGCAATCACTTAAACCTACAAATTGGTTAAAATAATTAAGAATCAAATGTAAACCATAGGAAACAAGTTTTAACTGGTAAAACAACCACAAAAACGAATTATACCATGATTAAAGTGTAGAAAAATAGTAAAAACATGAAAACAATTAAAGAGAAATGAAAGAAACTTTATCCAAAGTATCTTGAATTTATAAACATCAAGGCATTATTCATATAAGATCCACTTGAATTAGATTTGGAACTTAAGCAACACAAAAGAGAGAAAACCAAAATCTAGAGGGAAAATTTTAAAAATGAAACTTAACTTACAAATTTTTGGATTCAAAAGCTTATTTACACAACAATAACATGATCAATATGCACCAGGTTCATCCAAGACCCATAATTATCTAATTACATAACATATAACTTGAATCACACTTTAACATAATTGCGATTCTACAAAAAATTCACTGGTGAGAATTTTGCTTGCTCAGTGAAATCGAAAATTAAGTTAGTTGATACAAGATGACATTTCCGCTAAAAGAAATACTTCACCTGTTCAATGACTAGTTAAAAACTATATTGAACTCTCTAAGAGTGATTTGTTGAGCAAAATTTCTCACTTGTTGAGTGAAATAAAGTTGTGGTTGTTTTTGGGGGTCTCAATCATAGTAATGCATGAATGTCTCTAGTTGGAATTGGATGAGTTTGCACCTGCAAGAGTTGGATATGGTAGAATTACTAAAGAGTACTTGGACAATATAAAGAAGAAGAATGTGTGTCCAAAATTGAGAAGAAGAGAATGGCTAAGGAGGCTAACAAGGAGAAAGAAGAGGTCATTGAGTGTGCTTAGTGACATTCCTTGAAAAATCATGCAAGATTAGATTCAAAATTATGCAAGATCTCCCTTCATCTTTTGTTTCTCTTATGAGGTTAGAAATATGGGTTTGAAATTGTGCATGATCTAGAGGTAAAATTTTACCTCAGTTATGGTACTATTCGACATAAATTTACATTGGCCAATTACTCAAACATAAATTTATGTCTCCCACATTAACATTAGAGCTTAGTCAGATGTAAGAAACCCAAAATAATAAACGTAAAAATTCTCTTGTATACTAGTGATTGTTGATGCAATTGGTCGTGAGCACATTCCCAACTAATACTACAACAAGGGTTAAGATAACATGTATGCAATGAAAGGAACCATGGAACATATGATCTAACTTTAACTTCCATTGGGAACTTAATGTGGTCTATAAATTATTGCTTTCCATGGGAAAAGTTCACTAGAAAATCTACATAAAGACTATCTTACACATGAGAGGATGACAAGGACCAAAGACCATGTCACTAAGTTGGGAAGGTTCACTCTCCACCATATCTTGGTTTGGTTACCCTTCAACCTCCCATATCTATTGTATGTGAAAGCGCAGGTTAGATCTAGAAAAAGGGGGAGGGGTTTGAGTAGAGCTCTTTTCAAAAGAAATTTTCAACTAATTTAAAGTGTTCTTTAGAAAAAAAATATATAAACAGATAAGATAACCAGATGAAGACATTACATGCATACTAGTTCACCCTAACTATGGGTTCTATATATAATTAGCAAGATTACTTTGAGTACATCAAATCACTCCTTGCTATTAACGAGTACAACAAGTCACTCCTAGCTAGCAATCTTAATCTCCTCTGAGACTAAGAACACAAGTATGATTTGTTGCCACTCCTGACTACCAACGAGTACACTAAGTCACTCTTGGCTATCAACCTTAATTCCACCTGAGACTAAGAGCATGAGTATTATTTGTTGTCACTCTAGGCTACAAGGATGATTTCAAGTATTACAATCACGAAAATAACTCTCACAGAGATGATAGATAATTTACACTCCTAACTAAGGGTTTACTTCACTAGGTGAAGAATACAACAATGACTTCTCTTTATGTATTGAAATAACCCGCACAAAGAGGATGAACAATGAGCACTCTTAACTGAGGATTTACTTCACCAGATGAAGAATATAATAATGACTTATTCTCTCTTAAATCTTCTAAGAGAAAAACTCACTAAGGAGAACAATAGGATAATTGAATTGTATTGAAGTTGTTGTGTTGTAATTTCTTCAGTCGGTGAGCTTGTCCTTGTATAGGCTTTAAGATGTGACGGTAGAATCCTTAGTCTTTATTATTTTCTAGAAACATTTCTTCAATAATATGATATTCTTGATATTCCTTTGATATTCTCCTTTGCATAAAATCTCCAATTAGTATATTTGGATATTCTTCATTTGTCTAGTTCAAATACTTTCCTTGTAAGTCTTTGCGGCATATAGTATGTTTCCTTTTTCATGTAAAGATGATAGTTGCAGAAAAATATTTTCTTCTACGTATGTTGAACATATTCTTCATATTTGAATATTATTTATTATGTTATTGCTTGATTCCTGATACAATATATTTCAATTTTAGGATAATATTTGAATTATTATCGTTGCACATTTATTCTTTTATGTGATTCCCTTTATTTTTCACATTTTGATTTAATTAGCAAATAATCATATATATCTTTTTTCATATTTTGAAATTTCACTTGATAATGCATATGATGGATCAAATGCTTACCATTAGACTAAAAGTTATAGCCGATAGTCATGGCACAACTCTTTCTACTTAAGAATGTAACAACCCAAGCATCACAACTCGATTGTGGCTTGGTCTGCTAGACCTTAATGAATGAAATCTTGTCACCTAGATGTCATCAAATAATTTGCAATAAATGTAATGTAGTGCTAGGGTTAGTCTAGGTTGTGCCCTCAAGGATAATTCGTCAATGTTGCTTAAATATTTATTCCCACTTCTCAAATGTTAGGAAATAAGGAAATTTCAAGTAAAAACAGTAAAATGCATAGAATAAAACTACTCTTCTAATGGAAGCAGTAAACTAATCTAAGAAAAGCAATAAATGAGAACATTTAAAGAAAGCAATAAGTGCAAAAAAATGTAAATGGAAAAAAGTAAAGAAAAGCAATAAATAAAAGTAATAAATCTAATATAGGAAAGCTTTTAAAAGAAATGCGGTAAATCTAATTCTAGGAAGGCATTTAAAGATAAGCATATAAACAAAAGCATGTAAATCTGCTCATAAAAGTGTCGTAAAACAAAATTAGAAATTAAGAAAACAAAGATTGAGTCTCCAATCATCACTTATTCATATGATTATAATCGTTTTTTAGAATTTTGTCTTGCAATGGCAAAATAAGTTCACAATAGTTCTAAACAATTACAATCCAATTGAAGTAAGTAAATAAAACTCAATTCCTAAATCAAGCAATAACTTAAACCTAAAATTTAATTGTGGTGTGAATGAGACATTCAATAAAAGAACCCCAATTACATTGATTGTGATAGATTATAATCGGTTAGAATTGTTAAGAACAAAATTCAAACCATGGAAAACAAGTTTTAATTGGTGAAACAACTTAAAAATGAATAAAAAGCACACAAGAACAATATAGGAATAGAAAAATGAAAGAAAACAGTATCAAAAAAAGAAGATCAACAGAAAAATAGTAAAGGAGAAGAGAAAGATAGAAATTAAATGGAGAAGATTGAGAAGAGGAAACAAATGTGATCTAAAGTGATGAAGATGAAGAAATAATGGATATCTTGAATATTTGACGAAGTCAAAGGAATCATGAAATAAGAGACATTATGTGGTAGTCTTTTAGTAAGTTTGCATCAATACTGATAGGTATAACCATCTATCCAGTCTTACAACATGAGCCTCTATCATTTGAGAAGAATAAAAATGCCTCAAAACATTTTAATCTATTAAAAATTATTTTAGTCGGTTAATTTTCTCTTAAGTCTCGGATTTTACTGATACATTTACGAATTAATCAATTAAAATCACTTAAAGGAACTTGAAAACAGTTCTATCGCATTTTTATCTGATATATTTTCAAAATAATCAATTAAAATAGCTTAAACCAAGTGAAAACATTTTCTGTCATATTTTTAATCGATATATCTTTGAATTAATCGATTAATTTCACTTAAGAAGTATTGAAAAACCTTCTGCCATTATTTTAACTGATATATCTTCGAGTTAATCGATTAAAATCACTTAAGAAGTTTTGGAAAATCTTTTGTTAGTATTTTAACTAATATATCTTTGAATTAATCGATTAAAATCACTTAAGATGTTTTAGAAAACCTTCCGTCGAGTATTTTAACCGATATATCTTTGAATTAATCGATTAAAAACACTTGAGAAGTTTTAGAAAACTTAGTTTCAGAATTTTAATTGATATAACTTTGAATTAATTGATTAAAAACACTTAAGCAACTTTTCTATCATTGTTTTAATCAATTAAAACTTGTTTTATCAGTTAAAATGTCCCTAAAAAATTTCAGAAAAATTTTAATCGATTAAACCGTGTTTTTATCAATTAAAATGCCTTGGGAAAAATTTATAGAACATTTTAATTGATTAAATGATATTTTCATCAGTTAAAATTGTTAAAGTCAAGTTATTTTAACCAATTAAAAAGAGAATTAATCGATAAATTAGATCAATTAGTTAGAAAAATTTCTATATAAACAAATTTGCTTTAACGTTTAAAACCACACTTTTTAGAAATCAATCAAGCAATCTTTAGAGATCTTTTCAAGAGAGAAGCGTGCTCTTTCTAGTGGAAATTTTTAGAAATCTTTCTAGAGGCATTTTTTGTTCTTGCTTGTGAAAAAAACTCATTCTGCAGTTGGAAATTTGCATTTGCGTAACCGGTTTAATATTTCTAGTTTCCTCTATTCTTTTAATTCATTTTCTTTACTGTGTACTCTTGGTGTCTGGAAGATTTGACACTGGCTCTGCACTAAAATTTTGATGAAGAAGAATTAAACATCAAAGTTTTAAAATGTCTTGACAGGTCATGGCAACCCAAGGTTACAACAATTTCAGAATCCGAGGATCTATCTACCATGACCTCAACTACTTTATTTGGTAAACTCAGAGAACATGAAATGGAATCAAAAGATTCAATGAGCAGGAAGTTTTAGAAAAGAAAGTAAAGATCATAACACTTAAGGTTGAAGATAAAGAAGAAGAAAGTGAAAATCTCGGTCTACTAGTCAAGAAATTCAACAGATTTCTCAAAAAGAAGATTAAAGACAAATATGGGCAAAAAAGGTACACAAAGATATCTGACTCAAATTCTTCAATTACAAGTGTTATGGTTGTGGCAAACAAGGGCATGTAAGAATGGAATGTCCTGAGAAGAACAAGAATCAAGACAAGAAAAATGAAAAGATGAAAAAGAAAGCCTACATTGCTTGGGATGATAATGATACATCATCAACAGAAAATTCAAATGAAGAAGAAGCAAATTTGGGTTTGATGGCTGATCTTGACTCTTCAACCAGTAGTATAAGTTCTACTTCATCTATTAATTCCATGAATTATAGTTCCTTACAAGAATCCTTTAATGAAATGCATGAAGAAGCAAAAAGGCCTGAAAAAGAAAATAATAGATTAAAGGGTATGAACAACTGGTTAGAAAATAAAGTTAACTCTCTTGAAAATAAAATTCTTGAGGAGGAAACTGATTCTGAATACCTGAAAATGATTCATAATAATACTGACTGTTTGTGTAAAGAAATCAAGCCTTGTGAAAAATGCCCTGAATTACAAAAGAAAATTGTATATTTGATCAAGACTGTTTCAAAGTTTTCACAAGGTAAGACTAATCTTGATGTTCTTCTTGGATCCCAAAAGTTAGTTATTAACCGCGCTGGTATTGGTTTCACACCTGTCTTTGGTAAGAAAAATAAAGCATTCAAAAGGGTACCAAAAATATGCTAATTTTTTTTTTCAGGAACAACAAATTGAAAATATTGGGTACTTGGATAGTGGCAATTCAAAACACATGATCGGAGATATTTCAAAATTTCAAAAAGTGAGACTTAAAAGTGGTGGGACTGTAATAACAAAGGCAGAATTCTCGATATTGGAGATGTCAAATGTGCAGAATCAGGTATCATTAATAATGTATTGTATGTTAAAGGATTATAGCATAACTTGATTAGCATCAGCTAGCTGTGTGACAAAGGTCACAAAGTCATCTTTGAACTTGAACACTATTTAATTCTTAGACCTGGTTTAGAACAAGTATTGATTACTAGTAAGAGAATCAACAACATATACATGTTAAATACAAGCTCTGCTGAAAACTTTTGTTCAATTGCTAAAGAAAATGATTCTTGATTATGGCATAGGAGATTAGCACACATTCATATGCTTCATCTTAACAAATTATTTTCCAAAGAACTTGTAACAGATTTACCAAAACTAAAGTTCGTGAAGGAC